AATTAAAAATCATTTTTCAAAAAATAATTAAAAATAGTCTGTCCAGGATTTTTTAGCGAACCCATTTTCAACATATTTTCTAATATACTAAATTCATTATAAAATATATTTCATTCTATTATCAGCTCGGTGAAGGTCGATTTAGTTTCGGATCTTCTACTATGAATAAATTTGTGAACAAGGCGGAGTAAATGATGGCAACGAGTAATCTGATAGTGGTTAATATTTTCTGAAGAAGCATTTGATATCTTCAAAACAGCATTGTTCAATTGACTAAATCAGCGATTCTCAAACTTTTCTTTACACGTACCACTTATATAAATTCTGCGTCAATCGCGTACCACATATTAGAAAAGTAGATAATAAAATTCACTAATTTTAGTAAAAAATGTATTTATTCAAAAAAGGGCATTATAATTGTTACAAAATAAGAATTAAAGNATTAAAGTGGCGTTTAAATAGCGAAGATTTCATGCACTGGTTAAAAAGAATTTCTAAACAGATTACACATTGGAGCCTTGGCTCATCATTTATATTCGTGAATGTAAATCCCATATTAATGTATTCAGGATCATATTTCCTAATCGCTACTTTTAGTTTTTTGAAAGAACTGTTTTTGTCATCACCCTGTATAGGCTCCGACTCTGAAGTGGAGCTCGATGATCCGGGATTTTCAGATGTTCTTTTGTCTCTTTTAAGCCACTTATCCATTTTTCATAAGCAAAAATTCGCACGAATCAGTGACAGCAAATCACTTGTATCGACCAAGCCAACCACAACGACCGACGGCCACGAGGAAACTGATGACGTGAATCAAGGGCGGCGGCAGTTTGCCGCGATTCCAGTGTTGCCAACAATGAATAAGACATTACGCGCTTGCGGTTTCAAACTCACAGCGCTGCTATGCACAACGTAAAAGATAACATTTGTGAATAAATTTTATTAAAATCAAGTTTATAGAGTACCACCTTTAAGTGCTTTGCGTACCACTGGTGGTACGCGTACCTACCACAGTTTGAGAATCGCTGAACTAAATGAAAATAAGTTTTATACGTAAAGGAGTAAGTTTATACCGTTGTGTAAAAAAACTTCAATGATCATTAAATTATCTCTGACGGAAACAAATTGATTAGTTTGAAAATGAAATTCATAAAGTTGCTAGTGAATCATGATAGTGTGATTGGATGATTTGAACATATTGTTGCGGATTTTTTTGCAGATTGGAAGTTCAGAGCTAAAATCTCATTTGGTAATTACGATGTGAAGAAATCCTTCCGTCTTGAAATATGGCCTTGAATCTTCAAGAAACTATATGTGCATCAGCAACACAAGGTTGCGCACATCAGAACCATACACAAAGTTTCTTTCGATGTAATTGATTATAATATCAGAATTATTACGAAGTGTTTCAAATTTTGAATTACCAGACAGAATTATATATCACCTCCACCTCAATGCTAATCAGTTCATTTTTTTTACATATTCAGCTGAGTAATGAGGGACATCCCGAATGGCGTTTCAGGTACAAATTTCGGACAACGAGCGTCACTCGTGTAGATGCAATTAATGAGATCAATTGGAATTTCATTAAACTACCTGTTTCTCTATTACCTAAGGAGCTATTGAGGTGCCTTGTTTTATATGTATATGTACATATAAATAGACCACTACAATGTGCATTTGACACGAATAGAGACCGCAGAGCGTAGTAATTTGTTTTGTGAGTGGTGTTTTGGAGAATACTATTAAATTTTGTATCACAGATGGGTCAAAGAAAAGGTACTGCTGAAGCCAACATTAACCATTCGCATTGTGCCTCAATAAGGAAACCACTGAGAGGTGACAGAAAGAAGACCACTCTATGGAAAATCGGCAAACGGTTGAGGGATGCCACCAGACACATTCCAATTGCCAAAAATCAAGGAATATTGGGAATGATTTCATGTCTGTTTGAGACCATCAAGCTGCCTATGGTTGCAAACCCTACGTTCTTCAAAGCAAAGCAGATTGAAGTCGAGAAATTAACTTCTGTATTTCAGACAGGTGTCAAAGAACAACAGAAGCAAGTCATCTTTGATAATAGTAAATCCACCATCAAACCCTCTGAGGGGCGAAACTCATGCAGACAACCAGCTGATGTTGATCTCGATGGCGCCTTAGAAAATGATCCTGCAGTGACTACGGAATATATTCAGGACATTTTCAAATATTTGAGAATCATGGAAGGTAAGTATCCTATTCAGAAAGGTTTCCTCGATGATCACGAAATAACTCCTCAGATGCGTGCAATACTGGTCGACTGGCTGGTAGAGATTCACTTTCACTTCAACATGCATCAAGAAACGCTTCATTTGTGTGTTAGCATAGTAGACAGATATTTACAAGAGACAAAGGTGATGGAACGTGATGTTTTTCAGCTGGTTGGTGCATCGGCATTGCTAGTAGCTGCTAAATATGAAAGGACCTACATTCCCAGAGTGTATGAATTCAAGTCCAAACTTCCAAATCCGGCCTGGATAGAAAATCCGGAGTTGATTGTTATGAAAATAAACAAAGATTTGAATAAAATCTAACAAACTTGACCCTCACTACGGGTTAACCGCATCAGAAGTTGATAGAAGCAGTTCATTCTAAGAAGAGTTACTTTTGTTGGACGATTAAAGAGCATAACATTCACATGAAAAAGTACCTCTTGCAGGTATGGAATCGTTGGTAGGCATTATTATTGTACGGATCTATCAACATAAAGGGCCTTGTATGAGGCGTATTATGAATCATCATTTTGTACGGTCATATTTCTTCGAAGAAAAATTGAATAGACAAGAGTTTCTTCTTTCTCCCTCATAGAAGATTTTCACAAGGTGATCGAACACCTACCTGATGATACAAAATGTAAATATGGTTTCAACTAAATGAGGTGAGTACATAGAAGTAGAAGGACCTATTTCTTGTCAGCTGAGGTCGCCGGAAATAACATCAGTGGATTTCCATATTGGGAAACAGTAAAATCGGAGATTCATCTTACCGTCCCTACTACACGGAAGGAAATAAAAATAAGATCGATGAGACATTTCAAAGAATTATGCCTTTTCATCTGAGTCACATGAGACCAATTTTTATCGGGAGATTCGTGAAATGCACTGACACTGTCGAAGATATTTTGAACGTGTGTTGAAGGGGAATACCTTGCCTTATTCTTCTTTGAATAACATTCAACACGCTACTGTATTCAGGTAGATAATTTCATCTAGAATAAGAGAACGAACTGAAATACAGGATGTTCCATTTAAAAAAAACACAACTTCGATATGTCACACTTTTAGGTTGGGCTACCTATAGGGCGAGTCCCCAGCTTGCGGATAGGGGAACGGCCAGGGGACTGGAGGACTTGTCCGGAAAGCCAATGTGGCCTTACGGACGGGGTCGCCGGACTCCTGGTCAGTGGCAGAAATAAGTAGGGTGAGGGTAATTAAAACTCCCCCAAAAGCCTTTGCAAAACATGCCACCGTGGATCAGCCTACCCAAGCTAAGGTATGGGGAATTGTGCCGACATCTGAATGGCCGCAGAGTGATATGCGATTACGAATGATCCCCATGTGGAACAGGGCGAAACCTTATTGTAATCAGTCTACCTCTGGTAATGCGGGGCTCTGCCAGAGTTGACCAACTCTTTCCTTGCTACTCGTGGGCACAAAAATGAATGAAACAAACACAAAAATAGAAACGAAAAAAAAATACAAGTCCCGAGGCTGGACAGAAGTGCTCACCACAATCTAAGGCAGTAGCTGGGGATGAACAGAAATGTCCACCCCAATCTACCGCTTGGAATGGGGCTGGACATAGCAGATCACCTCGTGATGTAATACAAAGGCAAAGGCGTGAGCGCATTTGCGGCGCCAAGGCAAAAATGAGAAATAGAGCGAAAGAGGCAGGACTGGCAGCAACTATAAGGGCACCCTCCTCCTCCCCCACTCCACCTACAAAAGCAAGGGCACTTCCTGCGGCTTTCGCCAAGAGCTCCGCCTTGAATAAAGGCAAGGGACCGGCTGCCCCTGCAAGAAAGCTCTCTCACTTGTGCACCTCCACGGAGGGCATATTTCCAGCTTCGATTTTTCTCTACGAATTGAAACTGATCTAATACGCTGCCGAAACAGCCCAACAAATTAATCAGACATTTGGCAATGATGATGTTAATGAACGCACTGTTCGACCGTTGGTTTGCAAAATTTCGTTTCGGATATTTTGCCTCGAAGATGAGTCCTGAAGAGGTCGAGCTATAGTAATCTTGGATGAAGATGTGACAACCCTGGTGGAGACTGACCTACAAACGATGCGTGGGATGGTGGAAGAACTGGGGGGCAGCTCTCATGTGGTTATTCTTGGTTTGAAACGTATTAGAAAAAAGCTCGAAGCGAGCGTTACACGATTTGAAAGAACGACAAAAAGTGTCACGTGTCGAGGTCGATTTTTCTTTACTTTTGCGCAACCAAAACTATCATTTTTATACTATACTGTATCTGTAGAGTAGGAAGGGTGAGTGTAAGCCCACAGTACTTAGGCCACATGTGACCCATTGTACATCCTCCCGAGGAGTTGTCCTCCTAGTTTATCGTTCATCCTGTCCTTTCCAGGAAGGTGGACAGGTCACTGGGAGACATCTCCTTTATATGGGCAGGTGTTGGCCAAGACTCGCCGAACACACACTCTCTTATTGACGATAACTCCGGGCACTCGCATAGGACATGCCTGACAGTCTCATTTTCCTGTTCACACATCTTGCTTATGGATATGGAGGTGTTCCCTTAGTTGACAGTGACCAGTTAGAAATCCTACTACTAGGCGGAGATTTTTCCTGGTCATTGCCAAATATTTCTTCGGCGCCAGCTTCCCAAGGTCACCCAAGGTGATTCTGGCAAGATTACATCTTTTGGTTTCGTCCCATCTCTTTAAGGATTAGGCATGGGTGTAACACTTGACTAGTTCCGCAATTGTCGAAGTCATCAGGCCGTAGGTGTCATTGGGTCCTGAAATTTTTAGTCCGGCCGCTTCCTTGGCTAAAAAGTTAGCAATGCGATTACCTTTACTCCTGTCGGGCCCTTTAACCCACCTCAGGATAATGTTATTACCTACCGAGGCTTTGGCTGAATCTTGGTGACACTCTAGTACTATCTCTGAGGTTATACGTTGTCTATTCATGGCTAATAGGGCTTGTCTGCTGTCAGTGCAGATTGTTATGTTTTTGCCAGAAATTCCTTTCTTGCTTAATTCTTTTGTGGCGATTGAGATACCAGCCAGTTCTGTTTGGACCACGCTGGTATTTCTTCCCATTCCCCACTTAATTCTTAGGCTTAGTGATCTGGAGTACACTCCACACCCTCAGCCTTCATTGGTTTTTGAGACGTCTGCGTAAATTCGTATTGCATTTTTGCATCTGACTCTATTTTCTGCTTTATTTGTATTTTGTAGGGTTTATTAAACACAAACCTGGGTTCAATTGTATCACTGGTTGCCTGCAGCAGAGGTTGCACAGTAAGCGCTTCCCGCCACAGGCCCAGCCTCAATTGACCCATTCCTACTTCGGGGTTTACACCAGCCGTGCGCAATCGTACCATGGTCATGACCTCCTTAACGTACAGATCAAGAGGGGTCAGACTCGTGATTATTTCCATTGCCGCGATTGGTGTTGTTCTCATGGCTCCTGTGATGTTTAAACAAGCCATTCGCTCCCCATGCAATGGCTCCATACGTTAACATAGGTCTTATTATTGCAGTGTAGATCCAGGTGACCACACGGGGTGAAAGACCCCTTATACTATACTACTATACAGTGTGTTTCAAATTCGATCCTCAGCATTGGGATCTCGGAAACTATGAGAGTTACAAAGATGGTTGAATTGGGGCAAATTTGCGCATTCACTTGACTAACAATATGCTGATGGGAAAGTTCTTAAACTCCGAGTATATCCGGAGATTTCCGGAAAAAACATAAATTTCGAAAAATGGTTTTTATTTTTTTCCGGCTTTAGTTTGCGAAGGATTCACATCGCTACTTTTTCCTTGCTATGTAATGGTGTTTTCAGATTTGCTATTTGACGTTTCGTCTTCCGGCCACCATTATTAACTTTATTTTTTCTTATAGGCGCTACATTGGACTATTTCTGTTTTGAATATCACCAGATTTTACCCTTTCAATGATGTGTATCATAAATCATCATTCTTTTTCGAAAAATGGCATTCGCTAATGAAGAAAAAAGTGTTATGATACAAATTTATTACAAATACGATAGAAACAGTCTTAGGACATCGAAAATGTATTTAAACTTGTACCCCGAAAGACGACAACCACATCGAACTATGTTCAAGTTATTGGATCAAAGTCATTTGAGAATCCGAGGAATAAATACGGAGACAGAATGGACCCAGGAAACTAAAGAATATTTGATAAATGAGGTGCGTATGAGGTAAGTTAGACATTGTGTTCTTTCCAATGAAAACTACTAATTTGCAGGTAAACATGAAACCGGGGAAACCTACACGTGAAATTTCCTCCCAAATGAATATTTGTCATATAAGTGCTTGGAGACATCTCAAAAAAAGCGGTTTAAAATGTTACAAAATACACATATTTCAAAAATTGCATCCAGGTGATCCTGAAAGGCGATTGGAATTTTGTAATGGCTAATAAGAAGGCTTGATTTTCCTGTTTTCCTGGAAAATGTAATTTGGACAGATGAAAGCACTTCTACAAATTGTGAGATATTCAACCGAAATAACAAACACATTTGGAGCNTGTTATGGATACATTCTTATGGGGTACACAGACAAATAGAATTTATGGTCAGAGAGAATATCAAAATATAGAGGACCTCAACACAGAATTGCTAGAGAGTTCGGAGAGGAGGAGGAAAATTAATCGTGCAGTGAATAATATTCGAAGAAGGGCACAGTTGTGTTATCATGAAGAAGGTCAGCATTTTGAGCATTTGCTATGATTTACTTTTGTCTTCACATTTTAGTTAATTTTGTTATTTGTTCAAAGTTCTATTTTCATTGAAAAGGACACAATGTCTTATTTATCTCATACACACCTCATTTATCAAATTTTTATTATTGATTCTGTCTCCGTATTTTTTCATTGGCTTTTCAAAGGAACCAAACTCGGTGAGATTTTGATCCAATAACTTGAACTTAGCTCGATGTGGTTGTTGTCTTTCGGGATACAAGTTTAAATACAATTCTAATGTCCTAATACTATTCCTATCGCATTTGTAATAAATTTGTATCATATCTCTTTTTTCTTAATTCGTGAAAGCCAGTTTTCGCCAGAAATTTAATGACTTGTTCAATAACAAAATGTCATTGAGTGTAACAAATTGGAATTGAACAATTGAAATTTGGAAATATCGAAGTTAAAGTCTATTATGATTAATTTTTTTCAGTATCTCCAATTTTCCCAAAAAAAAAGAAAATTTATGATACATCATTGAGAAGGTAAAATCTGGTTCTATTCAAAACAGAAGGAATCCATTCTACTGTCCATGAGAAAAAATAAAGTTGATGATGGTGGCTGGAACACGAAACGTCGCATAGCAAATCTGGAAACACCATTATGTGTCAGGGAAAAAGTGGCAAAGTGTGATTGCAATTTATTTTCGAATCCTTTGAAAAATAAAGCAAGACAAATATAAAAACCATTTTTCAAAAATTTCTGTTTTTTCCAGATATCTCCGGGTATACTCGGAATTTCAGAACTTTCTCAACGGCGTATTGTTAGTCATGTAAATGCGCAACTTTTTCCCAATTCAACCATCTTCGTATCTCTCATAGTTTCCGAGATTCCAATGGTGAGGATCGAATTTGAAACACCCTGTATGGTCAGCGCCAGGAGTTATTTACAATAACTTTCTGTCACTGTTCAACAGAAGTGGTCCTATTCTGTTCCACGACAATGTTGGTCCACACGTTCCACAAATCATCGTCCGAAAATTAAACGAATGGAGCGTCGAGGTTCTACTTCATCCACTTCAATCTCCAGACCTCTCGCCAATAGACTACCATCTTTTCTGGCATTTCGACAACTTTATCACCGGTAGAACCTTCGCCAATCAGGACCAGACAGAAACGGCCTTCTTCGACTTCATCGAATGCCGAGCACACAAGTATTATTCTGTCGGAATCCATCGACTTGTGTTACGTTGGCAAAAGAGCACTGATCCAAAATGGCGCCACCCGAAAACGAATATGGATACTAATAATCAAAAAGTCGTGAAGTAACTTCATATTGAATATAGAATGAAGAAAATAACTTTTCTCTAATTTCTAGTGAGTTTATTATTTGTTATGACAGATTTAGGTTTATTAGCCTATTTTCAAGGAACTTGGTCTAATAAACCGAAACCCGTCGTACAAATAATGAACTCAGTAGAATTTACACCAAAGTTATTTTCTTTATTCTATATTCAGTTTGTTTCAAAATCTCTTTTAATTTTTATTATTGAAAGTTTTGATTTAACTTGATTTGTATGTATGTTAACAAATCTTGCAAGTTCAATTTGACCCACTTCCCGGTGTCCGATTGACCTGAAATTTTGCATGCTGGACCAGAGCCGATGACAATGCATGGCCATCATGAACGTGACCTGATGCTGCCAGGATCGGCTCCGTACGAGAGATCTTCTCAGCTGTAAATAGCAGAGACACGAAATTTTGTATACGCATAAAAGCTTGTCGCGACAAGCTTATATTCAATTCTGTAAAGTTATAAATGAATGTGGTTAATGTGATTTAAAATTTCATTTAAGTTTCATCTGACTGAATATGTAGAGATTTCTTATAGGCATCGCGACAAGCTTTTATTATAATTTCAATTCTGTAAAGTCATAAATGAATGTGGTTAATGTGATTTAAAATTTTATTTTGATCTTTTTAGAGCACGTAAATGAAAGGTTGTTTTAAAATTTTTTTATTAACCTTCTGGGCCTCTGTCTCCTGCTGCTCCCCTTTCACCAGGCTTGATGAAGAAAATCCAAATTATACCACCTTTAAATACTCATGACAGACATTCGTTGTTGTTGTTGTATTTATTCATCTTTCAGATCATTATGATATTAGACATGTCAATAATAAAAATAACAATAAATAACAATACATTCAAAAGGTTAAACATAACAATAGGAACGAAAAGCAGTGAGAACAAGTTATATCAAGACATCCCTTTGCAGGAACTCATCTAAGCTATAATAACCTCTGTTCGTCAATAATTCTTTGATATGGTTCTTGAAACTTATTAAGTGTAGGTCCTTGACATCTTGTGGCAATGAATGATAAAGTATGATGCCGTTATACCTAAGAGATTATATTTTGAAAATAAAGCTCTACGGCTAGATCTCGGTGTAATGTCGAATATAATTCTCCTGATTCTTTTTTGTAGAATAAATGTACGTCTTGCGCCAGTAGAAGTACCACAATAGTATATTTTGAACCATGTGAGAATAGGCCAAAGAATAATAGACCATCTTGACACCATCTAAATCAAGCAACTCTTTGAGCTGGCGTATTGCAAATATTGCCTGGTTCAATTTTTTACACACATGATCAATGTGAAGCTCCCAAGACAAGGTTTCATCTAAGTACATACCTAGGTGTTTGGCTGTATCAGATAGTTGGACGTTTTTAAGATTCAATGTCTTTCTCAAGGAGAAACCCAAGTGGATTATTTTATTTGCATTCAGTTTCAGTTGGTTTCTGTCACACCAAGCAACCATAGCGTCCATGACTGAGTTTATATTGAATTCTAACTCATCTATTGTGTTACCAGACACTGATATGGTAGTGTCATCTGCGAACATTGCGGTGTAACCGTGTTTGATATATTTCGGGAGATCATTTATATAGATTGAAAACAACAGCGGTCCTAATATTGAACGTTGTGGTACACCAAGGATAATAAAGTGTTATTCAAGTTCACAACCATTTTTCTATCAGATAAGAATGACTTAATCCATTCAAGTAAGAATCCTCTGATACCAATATTGTACAATTCACTGATCATAATTTCATTTTTTACTGAATCAAATGTTTTCGCTAGATCAAATGAGATTTAGACTACATACTTTCCCTTATCAATGTTATTGTGAATTAACTCAAATTTACTAGCAATACCTGTTTCAACCGATCTAGCTTTTCTAGATAAGATAAGATTTTGTATTCTTCAAGGAATAGAACAATTCTATTTGCAACTATTTTTTCTAGTAGTTTTGATGGCACACTTAATAATGGAATTTGATCAAATGATTGTGATAAACAGTTTTGGGACATACATAAATAGGTAGAAATATATTACTTTATTTCCAACAGATATGACTTTTTTTGCTATAAAGACATCAGAGCAGTGAGAGGAAATACCCCTTAAGCACAATTGACAGTGGACTCGGCCACAACCTCTCATCTAATCGTTTTTGAAGTAGCGAAGAAAACAATCCACGAATTCCCAAGGAGTTGGCACTGTCATTGGCAATAATTTTCCCTATATGACCTCTACTATGTTCAGTAGGATAGAATAATCAATTACCCTTTGGGGTACATTTCTGTAACGTGACATAACAGAAATCTCAGGAATTTTTTTCAAACACCTCCAATGTGATGTATATGAGAATCATAAGTGAGATACCAGATTATCTTTTCATATCCAACTTTGGACCTCATAAGGTCATAATGCTATATCCCTTTTACCCCTTTTATCGTGGATATAAACATTATGAAGACTAATATATGACTTTCTGATGAAAAGCTTGGTCTATATGTAAAACAAAAATGAGTTTTCAATCAAAATTCAAACCTAGATCATTCTTTTCGTTTACTAGACTTATGGATTTGTTATAAATTTCATAGGAATATTCTACTTTCCCTTCTAGGAAAGGAGAAAATATGTCATTCACGTGAAAACGTTTTTTGGTGTGTTTCACCTTCAACCAAAAATTAAGAAAACTTTCGAACCCCCCTAAAAATATTCTCTTTTCAGTTCGTACGATATTTAGTAGTGTTGGTATTCAAGCGATTATTGAAACACCAACTGAATATCAGGTCTTGTTCTTCCTTTAAGTGTTCATAATCATCTTCATCAATCTTCAATAGAGATCTGCCAAAATCATTGTCAAAAGATTAATGTGAATTTTCCAAAATTAGTAAAGTTTTGGAGAAATTAAACGAAAATACTCACCAGACCTGGAGCTCCTGGATGTCCTCTTGGTCCAAATATCCCTGGGGATCCTATACCTTGAACAATATTAGCAACACGCGAACTCATATCTCCAGGTGGTCCCGGAGGACCTGGTGGCCCTGCTGTACCAGGTTTTCCTACGATTCCAGGAGGCCCCATGGGGCCAGGAATGCCTGGCAGCCCCGCCGGTCCCTATGAACCAAATATTCTCAGTAAATGTGTTTTTATTCTATGCAAGAACTTACTGAATTTCCAGGATATCCTCTAGGGCCCACAATCCCTTGTAATCCCTGCTCTCCTCGACTTCCCTTCTCTCCAGTTTTTCCAGCTATTCCAGGTTGGCCATCACTTCCTGGTCGACCAGGAGGACCCTCCAGTCCTCTTGGACCTGAATCGCCTCTTGGTCCAGGAGGTCCCTGTGAGGAAATGACACTGGGTGTAGAATTTAATTTGGAAACGAAAACACATATGCAGGAAAATCCATGTATGAATTGAGTTCCACAACATTTCAAAATATTTCGGGGTTATCTGGTATGTTGTAGAAGGATATGTGTGATTGATGACTTGTTTACTTTATGGTAATTCATGATCACTTAAATGAAATGAATAAAAACACTTTTGTCTAAATACCACTGGAAAATATTATTTTACAAATGAAGAAGGATCTCGAGTGCTCTCGAATGATCAGTAATGTTCTAGAAGTTTATAGAAAACAACATTTCCAGATCTTCTACAGTGTGGTCCACTAAGTGTGCAACAAATGGGAAACTTTTTTATTATCGATTTCCCAGAAAATTTTATTCTTGACAAAAGTTGGTGCATGATCCAAAACTATACCAAGTGTATCTGAAATGGCTTTATGACAAACACCATACAGGATAGGCCAAAAAATATAAAGTTCGTTCTGGAGTAAAGTACCCTATTTACAAAAAATATAGAAATATGTTGAAAGCAAAAGTTGCTTAGAACTGAATGTTATGTTCAGATACGAAGTCATGGCCTGGTATTCGAATTTTTTTTCGAAGCGTCTGTGTATGTCCACCTTCTCTTTCGATGCATCTAATTGTTCGCTCATAAAATTCGTTTAATGTAGATCGCAACACATTAGCGGAAATATTTCTGCAATGAACTCGTATTGAAGTTTCAAGCACATCAACATGATTAAAGGGGGGATCTTTGTAGACTTTTCGTTTTGAGTATCCCCATAAGAAATAATCTAGAGGTGTAAGGTCTGGAGAACGAGGAGGTCATCGAGGATCGGTATTTCGTCCTAACCATTTATTACGAAATGTCCTATTTAGCTACTGAGAAACATTTCTAGTAGAATGGGCAGGACATCTGTCATGTTGGAACCATAACTTTTGCTGTTCTTCTAATACCATATCATCCAAAAACTCTCCTATTTCAGTTTCCAAAAAGTTCAAGTACCTGTCACCATTCAAATTCTCGCGAAAAAAAAACGGACCTGGGCGATGCATTTTTAATTAAGGACAAATATGAAAACGTTTTACAGGCTAGTTTTAAGAAGCCACACTTTCAAACTACAGTATTGTTTTAGGGCGTATGTGTTTTTTGTTTGTTCATGGCTATCCGCGATAGTTGAGGCATTGTTGTCAGAATAAAAGAAATTTTATACTTTTATTGACAGTTTATTCATATGAACATTTAGCTAGTGAAGTATTTGCCTCGTTGAAAAAAGAGTATTTGTTTTATTCTAGAGTTCTGTTAAATATCGTTGCAACAAACATGAAGTTGACGGTCACCTAAAAAAATACAAATCCAAGTAAATTTTACAGATACACTTTAATTTGATAAAAAAATACTCCAAACTGATTTGATTGTGGCTACTTCAAATACATATTAAATCAAAATAGTAAAAATATGTATACAGAGCAATTCAAAATTTTCCAAAAGAAAAAAAAATCGAATAGCAGGCCATCACTTCGTATCTAAACATAACTTTCAATTCCAAGCAACTTTTTTTCACAACATATTTCTATATTTTTTGAAATAAGGGTACTCCTGAACGAACTTCATATTTTTTGGCCTATCAAGTATGGTGTTTAAGGTTCGGTGAAAATTGGTTTTGAAAACTAATGAAATATGTATTGGAATAGAATGAATACTGTTAACAGTAATATTGATATTTGAAAGTCTAATATTTGATCTGTAGAGTATCAGGAATTGCTGTGATGTGTCCATTGTTTGGTTCCGAAAAGGTTTTTATAATTGATCAGTTAGAAAATTAGATTATTCCCAAAATAATTATATAATATCAGGGCCGGGAAAAATATTTTGGCACTCTAGTCAAATCTATTGTAAGGCGCTCCTTTCTCAACCATAGCAAACATTTCAAATTGAAATTCTAAATGAACTAGTGTAATTTCAGAATTTCAGAAAATTAATTAAATGCATTGATAATGCGAATGATATGAGCAACAACGATCGAATTACCATTTTTGTTCTCTGAGGTTTTCGTTTGGATCGATGATTTGTGCTAACTCTCCTTGTGTTGAAAATATTTCCAAACCTATCAACCTTTTTTGTGGCATACATGATCTTAGGTGAAGTTTGCACTTCGAGACGCTTCTTTGTTGTGAAGCCTGAGCCATTGATCCAAAGCCTGAATGGTAAATATCTTACAGATTACCCGTGGGTTGGGCTACCTATAGGGCGAGTCCCCAGCTTGCGGATAGGGGAACGGCCAGGGGACTGGAGGACTTGTCCGGAAAGCCAATGTGGCCTTACGGACGGGGTCGCCGGACTCCTGGTCAGTGGCAAAAATAAGTAGGGTGAGGGGAATTAAAACTCCCCAAAAGCCTTTGCAAAACATGCCACCGTGGACCAGCCTACCCAAGCTGAGGTGTGGGGAATTGTGCCGACAGTTGAATGGCCGCAGAGTGATATGCGATTACGAATGATCCCCATGTGGAACTAGGTGAAACCTTATTGTAATCAGTCTACCTCTGGTAATGCGGGGCTCTGCCAGAATTGACCAACTCTTTCCTTGCTACTCGTGGGCACAAAAATGAATGAAACAAACACAAAAACAGAAACAAAAAAAAAACAAAAACCAATCCCGAGGCTGGACAGAAGTGCTCACCTCAATCTAAGGCAGTAGCTGGAGATGAACAGGAATGGTCACCCCAATCTATCGCTGGACATAGGCTGGACATAGCAGATCACCTCGTGATGTAAAACAAAGGCAAAGGCGTGCGCACATTTGCGGCGCCGAGGCCAAAATGAGAAATAGAGCGAAAGGGGCAGGACTGGCAGCAACTATAAGTGCACCCTCCCCCTACCCCACTCCACCTACAAAAGCAAGGGCACTTCCTGCGGCAGTCGCCAAGAGCTCCGCCTTGAATGAAGGCAAGGGACCGGCTGCCCCTGCAGGAAAGCTCTCTCACTTGTGCACGTCCATGGAGGGCATATTTCCAGCTTCGATTTTTCTCTATGAATTGAAATTCATCTAATGCGCTGCCGAAACAGCCCAACAAATTAATCAGACATTCGGCAATGTTGGTGTTAATGAACGCACTGTTCGACCGTTGGTTTGTAAAATTTCGTTCTGGATATTTTAGCCTCGAAGATGAGTCCTGAAGTGGTCGAACTATTGTAATCCTGGATGAAGATGTGACAACCCTGGTGGAGACTGAACTATTACAAACGATGCGTGGGATGGCGGAAGAATTGGGCGTCAGCTCTCATGTGGTTTGAAACGTATTAGAAAAAAGCTCGAAGCGACTGTGCATGGGTGTAACACTTGACTAGTTCCGCAATTGTCGAAGTCATCAGGCCTTAGGTGTCATTGGGTCCTAAAATTTTTAGTCCAGCCGCTTCCTTGGCTAAAAAGTCAGCAATGCGATTACCTTTACTCCTGTCGGGCCCTTTAACCCACCTCAGGATAATGTTATTACCTATCGATGCTTCGACTGAATCTTGGTGACACTCTAGTACTATCTCTGAGGTTAAACGTTGTCTATTCATGGCTAATAGGGCTTGTCTGCTGTCAGTGCAGATTGTTATGTTTTTGTCAAAAATTCCTTTCTTGCTTGATTCTTTTGTGGCGATTGAGATACCAGCCAGTTTTATTTGGACCACGCTGGTATTTCTTCCCATTCCCCACTTAATTCTTAGGCTTTGTGATCTGGAGTACACTCCACACCCTCAGCCTTCTTTGGTTTTTGAGCCGTCTGCGTAAATTCGTATTGCATTTGTATCATCTGACTCTATTTTCTGCTTTACTTGTATTCTGTAGGGTTTATTGAACACAAACCTGGGTTCAATTGTATGACTGGTTGCCTGCAGCAGAGGTTGCGCAGTAAGCGCTTCCCGCCACAGGCCCAGCCTTAATTGACCCATTCCTACTTCTAGGTTTACACCAGCCGTGCGCAATCGTACCATGGCCATGGCCTCCTTAACGTACAGATCAAGAGGGGTCAGACCCGTGATTAATTCCATTGCCCCAATTGGTATTGTTCTCTTGGCTCCTGTGATGTTTAAACAAGCCAGTCGCTGTATTTGATATACTTTTTGGATGGCCGTTGCTTGTAGAACTTTCGGTCCCCGTGCAATGGCTCGGTACGTTAACACAGGTTTTATTATTGCAGTGTAGATCCAGGTGACCACACAGGGTCGAAGACCTCTTATACTATACTACTATACAGTGTGTTTCAAATTCGATCCTCAGCATTGGGATCTCGGAAACTATGAGAGTTACAACGATGGTTGAATTGGGGCAAATTTGCGCATTCACTTGACTAAAAATATGCTGATGGGAAAGTTCTTAAACTTCGAGTATATCCGGAGATATCCGGAAAAAACAGAAATTTCGAAAAATAGTTTTTATTTTTTTCCGGCTTTAGTTTGCGGAGGATTCACATCGCTACTTTTTCCCTGCTATATAATGGTGTTTTCAGATTTGCTATTTGACGTTTCGTCTTCTGGCCACCATTATTAACTTTATTTTTTCTTATGGGCGCTACATTGGACTCTTTCTGTTTTGAATATTACCACATTTTACCCTTTCAATGATGTGTATCATAAATCATCATTCTTTTTCGAAAAATGGCTTTCGCTGATGAAGAAAAATTATGATACTAATTTATTACAAATACGATAGAAACAGTGTTAGGACATCGGAAATGTAACTTGTACCCCGAAAGACGACAACAACATCGAACTATGTCCAAGTTATTGGATCAAAGTCTTACCGAGTTTGGTACATTTGAAAATCCGAGGAATAAATGCGGAGACAGAAACCAGGAAACTAAAGAATATTTGATAAATGAGGTGCGTATGAGGTAAGTTAGACATTGTGTTCTTTCCAATGAAAACTACTAATTTGTAGGTAAACATGAAACCGGGGAAATCTACACGTGAAATTTCCTCCGAAATGAATATTTGTCATACAAGTGCTTGGAGACATCGGTTTAAAATGTTACAAAATACACATATCTCAAAAATTTCCTATCGTATTTGTAATACATTTGTGTCAAATCTTGTTTTTGTTTCATATCTCTTCATTCGTGAAAGCCATTTTTCGCCAAAAATTCAATGACTTGTACGAAAATGTCATTGAGTGAAACAAATTGAAAGTCAAGTTTAGAAACATCAAAGTCAAAGCCTATTATGATAAGTATTAAATGTTTTCAATATCTCCAATTTTTCTAAATAGAATGATAACTTGTGATACATAATTGAAAATGTTAAATCGGATTCTATTCAAAACAGAAAGAATCCAATCTAGCGCCTACAAGAAAAAATGAAGTTGATGATGGTAACTGGAGACGAAGCGTCTGAAAACACCATAAGGTATGTAACAGGGAAAAACTAGCAATGTGAAAATGCAATTTATTTCCGAATCCTTCCCAAAATGAAGCCAGAAAGAAATTTCTTTTTTTTCTCAACGGCGTATTGTTAGTCATGTAAATGCGCAACTTTTTCCCATTCAACCATCTTCGTATCTCTCATAGTTTCCGAGAATCCAATGGTGAGGATCGAATTTGAAACACCCTGTATGGTCAGCGTCAGGAGTTATTCACAATAACTTTCTGTCACTGGTCAACAGAAGTGGTCCTAAAATCTTCCGAAAATTAAACGAATGGAGCGTCGAGGTTCTACTTCATCCACTTCAATCTCCAGACCTCTCGCCAATAGATTACCATCTTTTCTGGCATTTCGACAACTTTATCACCGGTAGAACCTTCGCCAATCAGGACCAGGCAGAAACGGCCTTCTTCGACTTCATCGAATGCCGAGCACACAATTTTTATTCTGACGAAATCCATCGACTTGTGTTACGTTGGCAAAAGAGCACTGATCCAAAATGGCGCCACCCGATAACGAATATGGATACTAACAATCAAAAAGTCGTGAAGTAACTTCATATTGAATATAGAAATCAAATGTTTTCGCTAGATCAAATGAGATTTAGACTACATACTTTCCCTTATCAATGTTATTGTAAATTAACTCAAATTTACTAGCAATAGCTGTTTCAACCGATCTAGCTTTTCTAAAGCCATGTTGTTGATTAGATAAGATTTTGTATCTTTCAAGGAATAGAACAATTCTATTTGCAACTATTCTTTCTAGTAGTTTTGATGGCACACTTAATAATGGAATTTGATCAAATAATGATTGTGACAAACAGTTTTGGGAAATACATACATAGGTAGAAATATATTACTTTATTTCCAACAGGTATGACTTTTTTGTGCTATAAAGACATCAGAGCAGTGAGAGGAAATACCCCTAAAGCACAACTGACAGTGGACTTGGCCACAACCTCTCATCTAACCGTTTTTGAAGTAGCGAAGAAAACAATCCACGAATTCCCAATCTACTATGTTCAGTAGGATAGAATAATCAATTACCCTTTGTGGTACATTTCTGTAACGTGACAAGATAGAAATCTCAGGAATTTTTTTCAAACACCTCCAATGTCATGTATATGAGAATCATAAGTGAGATACCAGATTATCTCTTCATATCCAACTTTGGACCTCATAAGGTCATAATGCTTATATCCCTTTTACCCCTTTTATCGTGGATATAAACATTATGAAGTACTAATATATGACTTTCTGATGAAAAGCTTGGTCTATATGTAAAACAAAAATGAGTTTCCAATCAAAATTCAAACCTAGATCATTCTTTTCGTTTACTAGACTTATGGATTTGTTATCAATTTCATAAGAATTCCCTTCTAGAAAAGGACAAAATATGTCATTCACGTGAAAACGTTTTTTTGGTGTGTTTCACCATCAACCAAAAATTAAGAAAACTTCCGAACCCCCCGAAAAATATTCTCTTTTCAGTTCGTACGATATTTAGTAGTGTTGGCATTCAAGCGATTATTGAAACACCAACTGAATATCAGGTCTTGTTCTTCCTAGGAATTGTACTATAGTAAAATTTCTGTTTATAAGAAATCTACAAAACTACAACAGAAAGCAAATACAATTGTTACAACTCTTAGAAGTTGAGAAACTTGAGCTGAGGACTAACGAGGTCTTACCCTTTAACGTGCAACTTTTACGATTTTCCTCCCAAACGTTTTTTTTCTTGCATTTTTACTAAAAATACTTTCACAAACCTATTATTGTAATCGATATATCAGAAAGCCCTGAGTGTAAGTTTCAATTTATTATAAATTTTTCATTCGATCGAGCATTTCAATGGCAATACTTTTTTTCATATGGGATTTGTAATTTGTACCCATGAGTTGAAGAGAAATAAAATAAGTAAAAAATTCCGAAAAACGGTTGACCCTGCAGCTCCGGAAGTTTCATTTCAGCGAAATCATCAACGTCTTTCCGTCGAAAAAAGCTCGCAAAGTTCCATTCGTTAACGCGATAATTCGGTTTTTGATAAATTGTATTTGATTTTAACAATGACTATAATCTTTGTTTAGATAATTTTCTTTGCTGACAATGATTTTTTGAAAGATATGACAGACATTTTTTTTTGAAAAATTAATAAGGAGGCCAAGGGCTAACACTTCTTTGTTGCTCCAAGGCGTCCAAACTTCCAAATCCGGCGTGGATAGAAAATCTGGAGTTGATTGTTATGAAAATAAACGAAGATTTGAATAAAATCTAACAAACTTGACCCTCACTACGGGTTAACCGCATCAGGAGTTGATAGAAGCAGTTAATTCTAAGAAGAGTTACTTTTGTTGGACGATTGAAGAGCATAACATTCACATGAAAAAGTACCTCTTGCAGGTATGGAATCGTGGGTAGGCATTATTATTGTACGGAATTATCAACATAAAGGGCCTTGTATGAGGCGTATTATGAATAATCATTTTGTAGGGTCATATTTCTTCGAAGAACAATTGAATAGACAAGAGTTTCTTCTTTATCCCTCATAGAAGATTTTCACAAGGTGATCGAACACCTACCTGATGATACAAAATGTAAATATGGTTTCAACTAAATGAGGTGAGTACATAGAAGTAGAAGGACCTATTTCTTGTCAGCTGAGGTCGCCGGAAATAACATCAGTGGATTTCCATCTTGGGAAACAGTAAAATCGGAGATTCATCTTACCGTCCCTACTATACGGAAGGAAATAAAAATAAGATCGAGTGAGACATTTCAAAGAATTATGCCTTTTCATCTGAGTCACATGAGACCAATTTTTATCGGGAGATTCGTGAAATGCACTGACATTGTCGAAGATATTTTGAACGTGTGTTGAAAGGGAATACCTTGCCTTATTCTTCTTTGAATAACATTTAACACGCTAGTGTATTCAGGTAGATAACTTCATCTAGAATAAGAGAACGAACTGAAATACAGGATGTTCCATTTGAAAAAGTCTCATAAATGAAAGATGTCTAAGTGGAAGAAACGGCGACATTCACGCTTTCCACGAATTCAAACGTCTTTGGGTAGAAATCAAAGGAGCCATTGGAAAAGCTTATAAAAAATTCATTCAGAAAACTGAGAGCGAGATTATCCATAACCTCAATGAGTTTTGATCATCAGCAACTCTAATCAATATATCCCTGAAAACATCAACTGTATCATCAATATGAAGAATGTCGAAAGTGTGCCCTATTTTCAAAAAAGGAGATGAAAGTGATATAAAAATTTCAGACCAGTTTCATATGCAACTTTTGTAAAGTGTTTGAGATGTTTTTTGAGAAGACAATCTACTGTAATGCAACATTATTAGCCCCAATCAACACGGTTTCATGAAAGGAAGTTCAATCATCACCAATCCTGTAACAATCACTCATTATATTTCGGAGGGAATTGATTGTCAGTCTCAGACTGATGTCATCTACACTGATTTATCTAAAGTGTTCGACAGACTTGAGCATAGTATCCTTCTCAACAAGCTTTCGACTTTTGGGTTATCCAATAACTAAATTACCCTCTTCAAATCGTATTTCTACAATGGCCTCAAGTCTGTCGAATATGTGGCCACATCTGATGTACCACAAGGATCAAACCTAGGACCTCTACTGTTCAATATGTTCATTAATGATATCGGAGCTGAGATTGATGTCAATTTCCTTTCATATGCAGATGACTTGAGACTCTATCACAATATAACAAGTTCTAATGATTGCGAACGTCTCGCCCTGAATTAAAATCGTGTTGCTACATGGTGTTGGGAGAATAAACTATCTCTCAACATATCCAAATGTAATGTAATGTCTTACTCACTGAAAACGAATTTGACATTACACAACTATGTCTTAAACAATCAAGTTCTGGTGCGTCCTGACCTCACTGATCTATCTTTTTTCATTGAATCTAGTTTAACGTATAACAAATACCAAAGTATAAAATTAAAAATTCATTTATTTCACACCGTCAGCCGCCATGGGGATTTTTCTAGATCTACTTCCTCTTCACATTTTTATGGAGAGAGAGGCTAGATAGACTGCATACAGACTTGTGCACGTCGTCAATTGCACAAATCAATCTTCAATCTAACGCAGAGTACACTAGACTGCTGGTTGATACTGGAAGTCACAGCATTCTGGGAATCACCTCTGACATTATGCCTCCAACTGTCAACAGTACACTGTATACACTACACTGTATACAGTACACTTCCCGAGAAGAGCTGGATCCTCTGGGAGGAGGAATTATTAAGAGCAGATAGTTGTTAGTTCACAGATAGATCAAAATCACTTCCAGACTCTGGTGCAGGTATTTTCAGTTGCAGACCCAGGACAGATATCAACCTGCCTAGGGACCTATGCGACTATCTTTCAAGCGGAACCTGTCATTGGCATCGCTTTAGGTTTTGCCAAGCGAACATTGAACACCTAACCTAACATTTGATGCATCAATTTGAATACTTTTCGAAGTGAATTTGAAAAACTCATGAATTAAACTCAACTTTATTTTATTCAAACTTGCATTTGCTGTAATAACCTGAATTGAGGAACATTCCCCATTACTCCCCTAGGTCAGTCAGCTTTTACTAGTCTGCATCATATTATATTCTGTCAAGAAAGTATCGTGATCCGATCATTTGAAAAGTCCGCCCGAAGGAATTGTCCGAATAATTTTTGTAGCTAGGTTGGTACAACTGTTGTCTATACTCACGCGGAGATGAAAATATCGAACAATGAATTTGCTTTGAATTTTGCATTGCAAAATTCGTGTGCTGAAGCGCTGAAAATGTTTATGTGACATACGGGGAATCAACTTCATGAAAAACACGAGCGTATTAGTGGTACAGTGCATTTGAAAGCGGTCGAGAAGTGGTGGAAGATTTTCCTTGCTCTGGTCTGTCGTCAACATCCTCAATTGAACTTAACGTCGCTGAAGTATAAGAATTGGTGACTGAAAATCGTGGAATTGGTATGAGAGGGATTAGCCAACCCCACATTCATAAAACGCATTGCAACTGGTGATGAGATCTGGATTCACGAATTTTATATAAACCGGTCAATAGGCTTTGGAATTGTACCTACCAACTGCGCCAAAACCTCGATCAGAAGTAAAGGTGATGGAATTCTCACCAGAAGGTGAGACAGTGAATAAAGAATATCATCTGGGCGTTATGCAATGTTTGAGAGAGCAAATTCGTCGACGAAGACCAGATATGTAAAAAAACTCATGGATTTTGCCCCATGATGACGCTTCATCTCACAGGCTACCATTTTAAAGAATTTCTGGTCAAAAACCCATCAAACCGTATTGAACAGTCACCGTATGCAGCAGATATGGTTACGGTCAATTTTTTTCAAAACAGTAGTTATCTAACAATGGTTCTGGATACAGGTTATCGAATTCTTCCACCCTTAGCTGTAGGGGTGGCGTCGGTACGTAAATACGTGCCAAAAAGGCTTCGAATGTACCCCCGAGAACAATGGATTGACGTAAGTACTTGAGCACACCTGTTAGTTCTTATAGAGATCGTCAGTAGCCAGAAGTGGTCGTCGAATAAGTCTCAAAATGACCTTAGTGCACCCATGAAGGGAAATATAATGAAATGTCGTGGCTTTTTGAGGAACCTTAGTGTTTTCTAAATTATCAATTATCAGAAGGTCGAAGAAGTGCCAAAATGACCTTAATGTAATAGGTGACCCCTTTGGGGTGTGATGAAGACCAGTGATAATGCTTTTGCCAAAAGGGTGCAAGTCGCCCGATGAAAGCCAGCCTTGCCTAGCCACGCCTAGACAATGTGATATTCCGTTTTTTTTTGCTAGGACAAAACACAAGCCCTACAGAAAAATTCTCAAGCCCTAAGAGCGGTGCCTGTGCGAAAGTGGTGATTCACGTAGTTTACTGGAAAACAATTCGACCTTTGGGGTCGCAATTTGTTTATATATTCGATAACTTGGGTGCATTCTAACGAGAAGACATTAATACATTTCAATTAATAATTGTTTTTCTAATTGTTCATTATGAATTGGTTTAATATGAACCAACCTGTTTCTCCTTTGAGCCCTCGTTCCCCTCTCTCACCCTGATCACCTTTGTCTCCCTTTGTTCCAGGTATTCCGGGAATGCCATGTTCTCCTGGTGGTCCCTGCGGACCAGGAAGTCCTGGTACTACTTTGCCGTCTGATACAGTTGTTACTCCAGGTGAACCCGGAGGACCCTGATGAACGAGTGGAGTATGAAGATTGTGGAAGTGAAAATTTGGAAATTTATGGATATTTTTTTGAAAATTGTTTTCTATTGATGGATTGGAAAATAACATCGGCGACGTTTATGAAATAAAGTGAAATCAATTGAAAATTATTGAAGAAGAAATTGTATTTTTGATAAATATGAAATAGTAAAATTTTTCAAAACGTCAAAGGGAAGTCAGTCGTGAAAAACAAATACATAACACGCGAAGAAATTGAATGATTTGACAGATTTTTCAAAATAGTCACCATACCGACTACTGAAATATTATTTTGTTACAGGTTACTTGACTTATTTATTCGAGTAGCCATCTTCTAGATGATGAGTATGTTATTCAATTAGTTATTTTAGGTGTCAAATGCCTCATTGTTCTTCTGAAATGGGATATTTTACACTTTGTCTTATATAGAACCCCACCTTTTTTTTAATTAACACGCTAGCTATTATTAGCTTCACATGTATGTATCTATGTTCGTTGGTTTGTTTGTGGATCTCAAGCTTGGGATCTGTATTTGACAGAATTATCGACATCATTGCTTGATCTATTCGCGGGCAGATGGCGCTGTACCTAACTTCCTTGATATATCGACATTATTGATTGATCTATTCGTGGGCAGATGGCGCTGTACGTAATCTCCTTGATATATCGACATTATTGCTTGATCTATTCGCGGGCAGATGGCGCTGTACGTAACTTCCTTGATATATCGACATTATTGATTGATCTATTCGCGGGCAGATGGCACTGTATGTAACCTTCTTGATATAATTCGAACTCACTTTACATGTATTTCTTCATTTGAAAAAAGTATTTTTTTCACCTACACGCGCGCCTGCTGCCTTATTTGTAACCCTCCTTTGCGCGCCTGCTGACTTGGGCTTGGTAGCTGATTTTCAGGCTCCCTCTCCGGAATCGGAAAATATCAATGGTCATTTTTTTTAAACAATATACGGCTGATTGATCCCAAAGTTTAGATAGAATAAATATAGTTTAAAAAGACTAAAAACACGCTTTTGAAGAACATCGAACTGAAAAGTTAAAAAAAATCAAACAAGCTCAAAAAAATTATTTTTAACTTTTTAGTTCGATGTTCTTCGAAAGCTTTTTCGTAGTTTTTTAAACTATATTTATTTGAGATATCTTTGAGTTTCGTAATTTCAATTTGAAAGCCACCGGTAGACAGCTGTTTCAAATTGTGAATGATCTAAATAGGAGTACTCATCTACTTGTCTCTTCCTTTTCATGGAAATATTTTCCAGCAGCTTCACTAACTTTCTTGATTTTATATCATTTCTGAAAACATGTGTATTCGTTTTATTAATCAAGTCGTATCTTACTGGTCATAAACAGCGTTAATGAAAATAGTTTTCAGTATTCGATATCGATTTACGGGGTGCCACAGGGTTTTATTTTGATACTCTTCCAGGGCAGTAGGAAAATTAGGACCTCAGTGTAGTCATACTTTTCAGTTCTACAGAAGCAAAAACGTTGAACATCTAGACACTTTGTAGGTCCGGGGGTCCACCCAGAGCTCATTATCTCGAATTGCAGTCCGCAAAAATCTATTCGAACATATACATAGCAATGATTGCACTAAAGTGATATATTTCTATTCAGAATATATAGGTACAAAGATAGGGAAAAATATATAATCATTATTATTTTTACCGAAGGGTGAGCTGGTCGAACCCTACCTCTGGAGCTCCGACACAATCAGGGGAGCACGCCGGCATGATCAACCACTGACCACTTCCTACACCGCAGAGTAAGTGATCATTGCCCTGCCAAGATTTTTGCTTTCGTGCTGCAAGATCTTGATATTCGTAAGTAGAGAGAGCATCATTCCACCAAGGACTCCAATAACCAAAACAACAATCTTAACTAAGTGGTCCGGGTAGAATCTGCGGAGTACGAAGAGAGAATCTCAATATTTCATTCGTTTCTCCTTCTTTTTTCGGACGATATTCATCTCACCGGGGGCTAAAAACTACACGACTAATATTGTCTTCTTCTGATGGTCGAGAAGAACTACATCAGCCCGAGGGTGGAAGATGAATCGTTTCACTAAATTCGGTACTTCTCATTCACCACAATGAACTCAATAACTTTCACATATAGTCAGTGGGCATACTTTCTTTCCTTATACGAGGAATTGGGCAAATTTCGGATATGCAGTTGGTAACCTCGTTCACAAGCAGATGGGGCGACGACAAACCTGTTGTTTGTTGTATGCTTCAGCTTAGTTCGAGGAATGATACTCTGACGGAATTCGATTTTCAATTATCGAAAATCATCGACTTCATGTTGATGATATACACTACCTTGCACTGACGAGTGGCCAAACAGCCCGAAACCGGTCTGCAAGTGTGT